ACCCCCCTCCCAGCACCCAGGGCTGGGCAGGATCTCTCCTCCCCCTCAGCAGCACTGCTTTGGGGTGCACCCTGACATCCCTGGTGGGTGGCACTGGGGTGGGAGCTACGTGCAGCATCCCCCCGCCCTGGACAGAGAGCTGGGAGCAGGGTGGTCGGTTGTTATACTTGGGGGGGTGTCAGGATCAGCCTCCTGCCCTCCTCCAGGCTGTTTTGCCCCCGGCTGGGCAGGATCTCTCCTCCCCCTCAGCAGCACTGCTTTGGGGTGCACCCTGACATCCCTGGTGGGTGGCACTGGGGTGGGAGCTACGTGCAGCATCCCCCCGCCCTGGACAGAGAGCTGGGAGCAGGGTGGTCGGTTGTTATACTTGGGGGGGTGTCAGGATCAGCCTCCTGCCCTCCTCCAGGCTGTTTTGCCCCCCGCTTTGCTGTGCTGGGACGGGTGGGATCCCCTCATTCGATGCGGACTGCCGTCCCAGGGACGTGCTCTGCCACGCCAAAGGCCACGCAGGGTTTGAGCTCACCCCCAGCTGGTGGGGGGGTGGGTTTTCTCTTCCTCGACAAGGCAGCTGCAAATAAAGTTGGTGGCTTCTCCTGGAAACCTTGGCCCTGCCGTGCTCAGAGCTCTCCTGCTGCTGTCGGGGATGGATCCTAGAGCCTTGGCGGGAGGAGAGGGGTCCTGTGGACCTTCCCGGTGCTGGGTCCCTCCCCTGTCCCCAGACCCTCCCTGGGACAGTCTGCACCTGCAGGGTCTTGGGAGTACCGGCCTCTCCCATCACTGAACCCCTGGCGTAAAAGCTGCCTGCCTTGGGGTGCCAGGGAGCAGCTGGGCAGGGACGGGGTGAGGTGCCCCTGGTTTCGCTCGCTGCGTCGGGGGCTGGTTGTACTGGGCATCTACAGCACCCGCTGCAGCTCACGGGTGGGAGCAGGCAGGATGCATTTCATCTGCTTCATCAGCCGCCCTTCCGTGTGGTTTTTCTAGGGAAAGCAAAGCCAACGAGCCAACCTGGGGCTGGAAATACCTGTGGTGGTGGGAAGGGGAATGCCTGGTCTGGTGTGGGCTGGGGTGCTCCCCCCTTGGGTCCTGTGGGTGTGAGTGCCCAGAGGATTTGGGGAACCCCATGGAGAGAAGCTCACCTGGGTTAGTGTGGCACCACTGGATGCTGCGGAGCCTTCCTCCTGCCCGTCCCCTTCCCTGGGCATCCTGATGGGCAGGACAGGGCGGTGGGCTGGGGGCTCTGCCAGCCTTGGCACTGACGGGGCACACTGTGGTCGCCTCCGCAGCCGGCAGCCGGGTGAGCCAGGAGCTGCGCTACACCAAGGAGAAGCTGGGTGAAGAGTCCGTCTACACGTCCCAGATGTTGATCCAGACCCCGAAGCGGGATGGGGAGAACATCCTGACGCAGGAGGCCCTGCAGCTCCACCTCGAGGCAGCCCTGGCCGCCAGCAAAGTCCAAGTTTCGCTGTATGGAAAGTGAGTCCTGCTCTGGACAAGGATGGACAGAGACCCCCACTACGTCCTGCCTGTCCCCTATGCCCCTTGCCGTGTCCCTCATGGGATGATGCCCGTCCTCAGCTCCTCCTTCTGCCTTTTCCAGATCGTGGGATTTGAATAAGATCTGCTACAAGTCGGGTGTCCCCATCATTGAGAACGGCATGATCGAGAGGGTGAGTGACCGGCATGGTGTGGCCCCAAGGAAACCCCCAACCCAGGGGACTGGTCCCCCAGGAAACGGGAAACAGATGGACCATGGTAGGGATGGGGCTTGCTGGAGGGTGCGGGTTTGGGCAGCCCAGGAGGGCTGGAGTGGGGAGGAGGGGGGGCTGATCCATCCCTGTTGACCCCTCTCATGTTCTCCCACAGATGATAGAGAAGCTGTTCCCCTGTGTGATCCTGACACCGCTGGACTGCTTCTGGGAAGGCTCCAAGCTGCAGGGAGGCTCAGCCTACCTCCCGTGAGTTTGGGGAGCCGTCCTGGGGTGCAGGGGGCCATGGGAGAGAGCAGGGGCTGGGGGTGCTGCTGAGAGGCTGTACGTGTCCACCCCGTGCAGCCTGGCACTGCTGCTCCGAGGTCCCTCCCTGCTGCTGCTTGTCCTGCTCGGCCCCAGGATGGTCCCACCACCACTGCTCATCCTGGAGGGTTGGGGACAAGTCCCTGTCCTCATCCACCTGTCCTCAGTGGCATGGGGCCGGGATCCAGCCCATGGGCAGGAGCTGCCACGCCATGCCAC